TTTATTTATGTTTTTCCATTTAGTTGAATTGTATATTTTATTTATCCTTTGCTTTATGATTGGTTCAAAAAATGACTTTGGATAGTTGTTTATTAGTAATATATTTTTTATTTTTTCAAGATTGTCCTGACTAATCACTTGTTCGGCCTAATTAATTTTAGAATGTTTTAAAGTGTTGCAATTGTGATGTATTTTAATGTGTGATATGATGAGGCTGTTGACGAACTGTGATTGTTTTTTAAATTAATGATTTTTTTTTAACTATGTTATTTTAGAAAAACTGATGATGGTGGAAAAATACACCGAAACGTATTTTAATTGATAAATAAAGACAATAAATGACTGAAACCCAGGAATTAATTTTGATTTGGAATTATGAATGAATACGTACGAAAAAATATTCCACTTCAACCAATAGATCGAATCATTCTTAACGATTAACTTAACATTAACTTTGACTGAAAACCGTATCTGTTGTGTCTTATGTATTCCTGATCCTTATTTATTTGCAGAAATTGTTTTGCGTGAAATCTACGTCTTCATTTTATGTGACCATATAATTTATATGAGAAACTGTAAGAACAAAACAATGTAACAGGATGAGTCGGCTTATATTTGGAGGAGGTCAACAATCGATGATTGGCCTAAGTTTAAATGTGAAGCTAGATTTGTCGAGGCTTTGTTATTTTAGGTAAATCTCGACGAATTTTTCCAATTTTCTTTACGTAACAGAATTTTCCCTCCCTCGGTGATGTGAGTTTTGTTTGAAGTTGCCACAGATGGGAAAACAAACATGATGTTCTCGCAGTTATCAGAATTAAACCTGAATCATCCTGTAGAACCTGTCCTTAGTTGATGCTTCCCTTTGCGGTCCGAGGCTCGTAACCAAAAGTACAATGCTGACCTATTTTGTCTTGAAATCTGTCTTGGCGCAAATGAAGAAACTGCAATGGAAATTCCGAAGATGTACCGCAACAGGTAGAGAGAGATATTCTTCCGAAAACATACGACAAACATCGGAATGAACGGCAGGTAGATTATTAGAGGTAAGCCTCCCCACCACTTCGAAATGCTGAACGATGAACAATGACGTTACAGAGAATTTCGCCTCCAAGGGTACCTCCCGACGGGAAGGGAGGCGACGCAACGGTTCCAGCAAGGTACCGGTCAACAACTTAGAGTCAGTTTCTGTAAGGTATCGACGGAAATCAGACGTGCCGGTTAAAAAAACCGGTGTATAAATTTCACTGTTATCCTGTTAAAGGACAATTCGTATAGTCAAGGTTCTTCAGTGAACGGTACCAAAGCCGCGCGCCGCACCAAACATTTTCCGCAGGATTAACGAGTGTATTTACAGTGTCTTTTGCTGTTGAGAAATGATACTGCGGTGATCAATCAGTGCAACCAAGAGGATTTAACTAGCATACATTTTATCACTAAGTGAACTGTTGTTACAAATATGCCGAAAATCTTCTTGATCAAGAATCGACTGCTGGAGCAGCAGTTGAAGTTACAAGAATCGCAGAAATTAGGCGGTAGTGAATCGGACAACCCTCTAGAACCCGATAGTGATTTTCCTTCATTGGCACCGCTCTCCATCTCTGGCCATAATCTTGATGGTAAGCATGATCCTGACGCTTTCTATTGGCGGTAGCTAATGGAAATAAAGTTCAGATTTCCCAAAAAGGCTGGCAAATTTGCGATTATTCAATTAACAGTTTTCCGGTAAAAATGCAAGCTTGACCTTCGCAAAATATAACTGAAACCGCAAAGGTTGCTCGATTAATTGTGTGTCGGTATCTCCAAGGAAGCGGTTTTTTCACAATTTTTGTTACTGTGATTCGTCGTTTTTAACATTGACTTTTTGATTGCGAATGCGTTTCGCTTGGTTTCATTTAATCAGCCCGCTCGATTTCTTAATTCCATCTTCAAGGGTATAATTATCCTTTTTAGCTTAACGGGAACGACGTTCATAAATTATTTGATCATCGAACCAATTGGGCTTAATAAATGGGTTCATGGGCTGACAGTTAACAAAAGCTATTAAGTTACTTGAAAACGTTAAAAAATTGAACAGATTATGAACATTTCAATATCTACCTAAAGAAAATTCATGCTTGAACCAATGCCGAGAGTGTGAGTTTGGTGCTTAAAGATTAAGTTCAAAAATTAGCGGAGAAGAGCAAAAGTTCTGGACGGTTCCAAACATTATAAACAGGTTGCATGTGCAAAACAAGTTTTTCAAACAGTTAACGCTACTGGTTCACTTACATGGTATCGTTTAAAAATTATGAAATATAAAATTGTTTTCGTTTTAACCAGTACCGAAACTGAGTTTGCATCGGGCCTCAAAAAAAGCTGAAAGTTAAAACATGATCATCATCCGTATCAAGGGTGTGTTAAGTTTAATGCTTGAAATTCAATAAGAGACGTTGCATAGAACGTTAAGGAGGAAACGCAGAAACACTTGCCTGCAAGCGATAAGGGAATCCTTTGCATTTCTAATACTGTATGGTATTTTATTTTTCAGTTTTGTTTTACTTTTTTCATTTATTTATTAATTGCAAACGTATTATGCATGTTATCTATCAAAAACTAGTAAAAATAATGCCTAATTGAACATTCCAGAAAGCTAAAGGAAAACAAGAATCGAAAAGCAAAAGATCACGTTTATTTTAATTTTTTAAATAATTTACGTAAATCTTAAGATACTGTTATAAAATTCCATATTCTAGGACTTATACATATATAACACCACAATCATGTCCAAGTTTCCGCCAAATTTTCAAAGGACGCCACGTGGCACTAATATTAAATTTTTGAATAATACTAACTTTTTGTGCCTACTTGTATCTTCCTGATTTTAAGGTAAAATCATTAATCAAAAAGTTTTCGAGATTTTTTCAAAAAAAAGTAACAAACTTAAATTAAACAATTTTATAATTCCAAAGTCAATTTTCAATGGGTGCTTATGATATTGCGGTAAGTCCCAGAATATAGAATTTTATTACTCATTTATATTTAAATTTAAGTAAATTATTTAAAAAAAGTCAAGTGTTAACACCCAGTTGACACTTATTTACACCAGTTGGCAGACCGAAATTCAGTTGTCGAAACTGATTGTGAGAAGTATCATTGTGTGTATGGTTCCACAAAGCTCTAGTTGAACGAGTATCCGACGCAGTAGTTGCTTGTGGAAAAGGCTCATAGAGTCTGGACGGCCATAAATCACCTAATTGGCCTAAATTGTCACCTCTTCAATTCATTTCTCACCTCAAACTTATTGAATTGGCATGGAATTTTGTTTATTATTGTTTCCTTCTGTTTAGATATTTGGTAGAGTCAAGGGTAGTCAGTCAAGGTCAGTAGGAAAAACTGAGAAATGGTCTTTTCAGCAAAATGAATACTCAGTATCTCATAAATAAAAGCGTTTGACCGTCACATGGGTTTCCACAAAAGTACTATTAGCATGAGACTTTTGAATGTGAAGCTGTGGAACTTTTATTGTACATAGTTGTATATTTCTGTAAATTTCCGCGAAACTGATATGGTTCTTATAAAAATGTAGACGTTTCATCTATTCTTAAATTTCACTCGTTGTCGATGTTTCAGTCCAATTAAGTTTAAAACCAAAATTTAATCAGGTGGTTTTACGTGAAACGCTCGACCTTTCCAGTCGACTGTTGTATGTGTAGTTTTCAACCGAACCATCGCTGAGGATTCAAGCCAAGTGGTTGCAAAACGTCAGCAAGATATTCTTTTGTATGACCGCTGAAACACCCTCAATCTCAAAGCTCACTGCAACATATTTGAATCGAGCGTTTTTAGAGTAAACAAAAGTGCACTTGAAATTTTGTTATTAATTAATCAAAAACAGTTTGGAAACCAGTGTGCCAATCAAAAAACATCTTCGTTATAATGAGTTTGAAAATATTGCACATGTACATGACAATAAGAGGATTCGGGTGCATCCAAAATGAAACCACAATTTTTTCCTGTTCCATTCGCCTTGACGAAATCGGGACCTTCGAATCGGAGGTTGTGCACTTAATTTGTTCAATCTTTACGGTTTCGTTAAATAATCAGTGCGATTTCCTTCTTTTGCCAATTACTCTCCGAAATTAAGCTGAGCGAACCCGATTGTTTTTCAATTTGGCAAATTAAGAACAATTAGGATTACAATAGCGGTGTTTTAACACGACACATCTAAAATTTCATTGTTTACTATTCACTGGTAAATTATTCAGAAATTGGCATAATTTGTGCCTTAATGTAGGTCGATGTTAGAAGTGAAATACATGTGTTTTTTTTAATCTTCGAATGAAATATGATGCGGTCGGATTGTTAGTCGAATGCCAAATAACCAAGTAGGTAATTAATCACTTGGAACACATCATCATTACTAAAATAGTTAAACCTAGATGTAAATGGACGTTGAAGCAATTTAAACTGTAATACCATCGGCATTTCTGATCAACTTGTGTCGTTTTGAAACAAAGCAACGGCCAGTGGCCATTGAAATTCACGACAGGAAAAATGAGGAAAGAAATGCCGTATTTAAATGATTCCTCTCTACACGAAATTGGCGTTCCACGGTCGACATGTAGGTTTAATGGGTTTTACATCCATTCAACTCTGACACAATATTAACAATTTCAGGTGGTACTTTGACAAAGAACTGTTCGACTCGTCAGCACTTTAATGCGACGACATATGAGAAGCCGGAATGGAATTATCGAGGGACCAAAATATCGCGTCAAATGCTAGTAGTAATTGATAAATACTTCCAGAATTTCAAATTAGTGATGTTGCCCCAAACGCGAACTGGTAGAACAATAGAATAGAACAGTCTATCAGAAATAAAAAAAAAAAAAGCAGTCAGAAATTTTCTTTCGGTTCGACTAGATTTTGTATTTCTTTTCGTTTCATTAAGAAAAATGTATTTGTTCGGGCCCAACGATTCTGTTAGGCGGGAATATAAAAGTTCAATATCTTATTAGAAAATTGCCATCAAATCTCAAATAGCAACCGGATTGAAAAAAATTATTGAGCAAAAAATTGTAAAAAGCTTTTAAAATCTGGGATCCCTAAAGTTCGACTTCATTTTTCTATAATAGAATCAATATGAATCGTTACAGTGAACTATTAATTAAGCCTTGAATACGCGCTTTTCATGAAAGCATTTGACGCATTATATGCGCCATTTAAATAAAAAGTTGAACTAGATTAGAAGTTGATATAGGCTGGCTTTATAATTATTGTAGCTAACACTATTATTGTAGCTAATAACACATGAATTAGTGATATTTTAATAATTGAAACTTTGAGCAATAGACATAATATACGGGATCCAAAATGAGATTTAATGCTTCCCATGTAGTTGGGTTTTGAAAATTTTCGTTGGAACCAAGTGAAGTTTCTGATTTTTTTCAACCATTCGAATTTTTCCTTCATTTACAGATTTCAATAGCATTTGATCTCAAAAGCTCGCATAAGGAAGCCCGTCGTACTAGCGTAACGTTCGAAAAAAATAAATTATTTTCAACCATCGGCTAAAAGCTCTAAAAAATCGCCTGTTTGAAACAAGAACCGAGAAGCCAAATTTTTTTGATAATAAAGTTTGTAAAATGATTATGTGGAATCGACCCTCGGAAATTTCTTCTTGTGATCAAAGAAAAAATCACAAAGAAGAATATTTTACAGCAAAATATGTCTAGTTCGGTTATGACTAATGGGAGATTTCAATGCTTCCTTGCACCAATGCTTCGCCTTCCTCCGCTGCTTTATTTGGCTAGATGAAATTTTGTTGAAAAAAAGACATTTTGTCAGCAATAGAACGAACATATTTTCAAGTATTCTTGAACTCACCAGTTCCAAGCAATGGTCGTAAAAGCCAACTTTTGATTCATTATACTGATCTTATTTTTATATAATAAACTGCGAAAGAAAAAAGTTTATAGAAGCAGGTAAACACAAAATCCACAATAAAAATGTCCGAGAAAAGGAATTGTTCTTTAAAGATGAAGTTCTGACCAATGTTGATAAAATAGGGTAAACCAGTCCTAAACTTTTATTCACTGTACGAAAAAACATGAAAACAAGCGCCAATTTCGAACACAATAAGGCTTTGTTGTAGGTCGTCAATAAAATTCTTCCTATAACCGGTTTTACGGCAACTAACTGTCCTCGGTCAGGGTTTGGGTGAAAATATTTATATTTATACTGGTCAGTGGCTAGAGTCGAAAATCCGAAATACAAATATCCCAATTAACTAAAGTCCCTAGCGTCTACAAACTGATCCGGTTTGACTTGACACATTTGCATAAGAACATAAATAGAACTCGAATAGTTTTTTTTAATAAAGCTAAATTTTGCAAAAAAAAACGTTTAGTGTGTCCATGTAGTATTCCGATTTGTCTTACGTTTCAAGGTGTTACCAATTTTTAATTAAATCCTCTAATTTGGGTTTGTTGCTTCTCCCAGCCACAGTTGTTAACATACAAAAAATGGCTTCGATAGTAAATTACTGGTTTATAAATTTGAATGACCACATTTTCATTACCTGATTTAAATGGTCTAAAAAGCAAATGATAAAACAACTCAATTATGATTTCCAATT